TATATATGTTTGCAAAACATTTCATGGTTTTGCTTAAATATACATTCAGTTTTTACGTCCGAGTATGTTATTAGTGTTCCTTTCTTTAGCAGGTTTTTGCATGAACTGCTTCTTTGTTCATTGAATCAATATTAAGCCTATCCCAGCTGACTTAGGGTGAGAGGCAGGGCACACCCTGGACAGGTTGCCAGTCTGTTACAGGGCTAATACTTTCTAATTAACCTATCCTCAATAATTGCACAAATGTGGGAGGAAGCCACAGTATCCAGAGAAAACCCAGGCAAACTCAACACAGAAAGACACTGGCCTGATCGTGGAATTGAACTCAGGACCTTCTTGCTGTGAGGCAACAGTGCTAACCACCATGCTGCCCCATTTAATTAACATTACACTGAAATAAACATTTTTAACTTTTCAATTCTTTTCTTGTCTTGTGGTCACTGATATTTAAGTGAGAAAGCGAGGTTCTGCTGATGTGTAAGGAATTTAATGCTGTTGGCATCAAGGCGAATTTACAGCACTAACTTAAGTGTTTATTCCAAGGCTACATGCACTTTGAAAAAATGTACAGCTGATCTGTGTTTTAAAAAAAGCATCCATTGGGTTTAAAAGACAGCAAAGAAGTGCACTGAAACAGTAATGGGCTAACTCACATGCTTCCCCTGAATCAATGCCAATTTAGGGTGTTGTTGATAGTGAAGACAATCTTTAGCAATCTGAAATAAGAAGGCATTCATCATTTTCAACGTTTTCAGCAAAATAAAGCTTAATCTTCATCTTTCATTCCAGAAAACTTTGCAAAAGAAAAGACAAACCAGTGTTTTCCATTCAATAAGGCCAACAAGTCGATGAAGTCATTGGAAAAAGTGCTCAAAACAGGATAAAATATATGTGTCTTTTTAATTTGTCTCCTCATCAGTCCAAACTTTTAAGTCAGACGTCATGAACATCATGATTTTTTACAGGCATTAAATAGTCACTTTTATTAATAAATAAAGATGTAAACATAGTCATGATTACACCCTAGTGAGCTTAAAAACTACTCAAATAATAGCCGGTGAGGCCTTAATGCAACTACAGCTCTGTTTAGTAAGACTGTAGTATTACAGTCTGTCATCACTCAGCATCACAAAGAATATAAATGCATTTAACCTCAGTAAATGTTATGCTTTGGTTCTTTGAATTGCAGCAGTTTTTCTGATTTTTAAATAAAAGCAAATGGAAACTTTCCCAAGATCAGCGTTCTTAATCCAGTTCTTTTGCACCCTCGTGAGTGATCATGTGTACATGCTTGTGTATTAGTAAAAAAAGGGGACTTTTTCCAATGCCCGAGGTCAAAACCTGAGAAGAAAAGCGTTATTCATAACCTCAAGATTTGATGATCTGCATCACCATGAGTTACAGAGCAACTGCAAAGTCATAACAACACAACAAAATCACGAGATGCACTGTAAAATTTTGTAATTTAAAGGTTATTTTTATATTCTATATTTTGAAATGTGTTTTATTTTAAATTTGGGGGCATTTTTTTCATGTCTGTCATAACATATTCCAAAATTATGTCAAAACACACTCACGCACTTCTGAGGTGTGTTCAAGAGGCCATTAGCAGTTTATTCCAGCAGAATGATTTCTTTCAGTGATCTAAAGTTTAGTCGTCGGACATTTGATGTACAGCACCTGTTTTTGGATTTAAGTTACACTTTGCAAGAATGAACACAGCTGTGCGCTTCACACCCAGCTACGCGCACTTCTGAAGACCTTTGAAAAGTGAAGTGTAGAATGGCTCAAACAGCTTTTAACAGGAAGCAATTCTTGTTTTCTTGGTGTAACCTGAAGATGGTTAAAAAAAACAGGAAATGTGACATCACATATAAAGGTATTTCCACTACACATAGTTATTATTTTTAGTTGCCTGGACGTTTTACTCTAAGTTCCTGATGGTCGCAAAGACTGCTCAAAAAACGTACTTTACCTTACTTTACACTTAAAAGGGGGTTTGTGTTCTTTTCATAATAACATATGCAGGACTAGCTGGAGTTAACGGGCTACTTCAACCGTTTATGCAGCAACAAAAGTTTAATCTCTAAAAAGGTTTTGTGGGGAAGCAAGGGAAAAATGGTAGTGCATGCCAACTTTGCTTTGACAGCTTACAGTAATTTTTATTTCGGCATTGTAGAGCCTATAGCATTTATGTGCTTCCACTGCTGGACCGTTTTACTGTCAAAACACTAGTGAGCAGTAGAGCTTCTCTTGAAAATTATTAGCCATGAAAATTACAGCTTGGAGTTACAAAAGAGTTTGCAGTTAAATAGTTCCAACTGTACAGTAACTATGTGTTAGACATGGACGCTACTATCTACTACCAATCTAAACATATCTCCATGTTTCTGATGGTGATGACTTCTGACTGACTTTGAATGCAATTATCATTCCAATACTATGAGAAATAATAGCCTCGTTATAATCTATGGATGCATCTCGCTAACATAGTTGCTTTGTGTTGCAGAATGTGTAATGTGAAAGCAATGAAATAATATTTTATTCCCATTGAAAGAACAGACATCGGTCGTTTTTAAAGCAATTTTGTGACAGAAATATCTGAAATACAGACATAAACTCTATAATTGCAGCTGTTTTCCCACTTGTGAAAGGGGAAACCTTTCTTTCGGAGGCCAGAGGGGAGAAACTAATGAATGCTTTAACTTCATTTGAGAGATCAGCACCCAGAAGCACAATTTCTGTTGGCTCGCTGTCACTTTTAAAAGAATGGAGTTGAAGCTGGGGGGGATGTTTGTGACAGAGAGAAAGGAACAGGAGGAGGGATTTGCAGACCGGATAGCGGCTCAGTGACATCAGCTTCGAAAAATGTGTGTGTGGAACTGAGAGTATGTGTGGAATCAGAGGGAAAATGGAGAATGGGAAGGAGCTCCCACTCTGCTCCTTTTACCGAGAACTAAAGAGAACACGAATGTGTGCTCGTCGTGTTATTCCTGCTGGTTGTTTGTTTCTTTAACTTTAAATTAACCCCACATGCATAACAAATATTTCTCTGGGTTATACTCCAAAAAGGCCCTATTTTAATAAGAGATCAATTGAAGAAATGCCCCAAGTTACCCAGTGATGCATCTGTGTGGGTTTGAGCACGTGTCTGTGGATTCATCTTGCAGTGTCAAAGTGCTTTGAGGACTAAGTGAGTGCTAAACATATAACAGTCCATATTACCATGGGCTAAACTAAAAGTAGGAGAAGGTAAAACACATAAAATATTTGGATGGAAAGAAGATTAGAGACTAGTGATCACTACTGTGAAGCTTGAGGGTCATTAATGGTGTTTTTAGATTGATTACATGACTAAGCCAATAAAAGAAAGCTAAACCAATAAAACAGCTTAGCACAATAGTCACATGACAGCAAGAAGCTCCCAGGTTTGAAGCTGTCCAAAGACTTGTCAGGTTAGCTGGTAAATCTAAAGTGGTGTTAATGTGACTTCAGTGGTTAGCCTGTCCATATGAACATCACATCTCAGCTAGGGTCCTGGATAAGTGCCCTAAACGAGAGTGCTGAGCCAAGGATAAAGCAACATTCACACATCGAATACTTGAAATTTGTGCAAATGGCGAACAAATTGACATCGAGGGAATGCCTGAATCAGTGCTATCCAGAAGCTCTGAAGAAATGCAAGCTAAAGATGTCCCTTACTTATCCCCAAAAGCATTAATTGAAAGGAAATGAAGAGACATTAAGAAGATAAGATGACAGTGTGTTACAGGGAACACAATCTAATATTTGATTATCCTCAAGCTTCACAGCCCCCTGAAGTCCCTTCAAAAATCGAATTATTATTATTACTACTAGTAGTAGTAGTACTAGTATTAGCATTAGTATTATTAATGCCATATATAGCGTCGTGTTATTGACAGAGTGAGGCGTTGTTTTCAACAGACGATCTCAGGGCGAATCAGACAGCGTGCTTAACCGTGACCGAGAGAGAGAGAGGAGGGGGCAGAGAGAGAGACAAAAGGCGTTTCCACGTTAGAGCAGCCAGTTTCAGAGGCGGATAGCGAAGCAAGCGGACATAGTGACACCTCACGAGCATCATACACCCCAAACTCGTGCTGACAGTTCGTCTAACCCAGGCACCGCGGCCGCGTTTTGCCACGCTGATGAATCACACTCAAGTTCATCACTGAGCGCCTTAAAACCACAAAAGTGAACCGAAACCAAGCGGGACTGACCAGGTGGACTTTTTTCCTCCCTCCTCGCACCACGTCTGCCGCCTCTGTCGGGCTGCTTTCTACGAGTTTTAGCGTTTTAGAGAAAATCGTCCCGCAGACTCACGCATCACTTCCATCCCTGTGTCTCTCTCCCTGCCTGTAGCTGACTCATTTTTGCTCCTCGGGGTGAGTACATCTCTTTCTAACTCTCCCTTCCTGTCTCCATCTTTTTTCTTTTTTTTTTTTTTAAATCATGCTTTTTCTCACACGCCCGTGGGGGATTGTTGCTTTAAGACCCATTTCCCCCAGAGTGTACTTCATTCATTTGACCGTCATCCCGCTCTCCATTCATGGACACGGCTCATTTCTGTCATTGCATACCGTTACATGGAGGCTGTGTCGGAGACTCGCCTACTTCACAGCCTGCTGTATGAGAGTTGTTTTTTGTGAACTATAAAATAAACCTGAGACCCCTGTGAGGAGGACATACAACATTGGTCAGTTAAAAGTGATTCCACGGGGCGTTCGTCACAGTTGTTTCTTAACAATAAAATAAACACTTTTAAGAAGCTAAAATTGAAATAAGTGTATGTCCTTTACTCATTCATGGACTTTTAAATGGCAAATGGATGGATGTTTCATTCTCAAGAGTGCACTGAATACACCATTGATTAAACTAATTGGATTGAGTGTGGCTGTGGGCAGGCTATTCATGTATCTAGTGTCCTTTTCATTACACCCCTGCTGAATATCCCCACAGTTTTCCTTGTATAGGCTGGACGATTACAGTGCACTCTCCCACTGAATCCCAGCTATACTGTGTGATAAAAGTCTGTGGTGTTGGTTTAGTAGATCTGTATTCATGAGGATCACATGATCTGGAATATTCTGGCTCTAAACCAGAGGAGCAGATGATAAAGCACTGGTGACCACCTGTGACTGTCCCGGATGGCTGAGAGTGTGTGTGAGCGGATGGGGAAGGGGTGGGTCTTTTATGAATGAATTTGGGTGGATGGCCAACACTTTGTGCGTGCACATGGGTGGGGGTGAGCGGAAGTCTTCTTCCCCAACTGTAACAGACTTATCTCGATTAAGCTACTCTTCTTATTCCCCTGTGAACTTGTGAATAAGGGATCATGTTTGATTTGGCAGATTTTTAGCCAGATGCCTTTCCTGACACAACTGTTTTCTATAGGTGGCTTGCACATGTCACACCAGCATTTTTCTTTGAATGTTTGCAACAGTTTCTACTTAACTGTAAAAGACTTCACACAAACAAAAAGCTCCAGTGACAAAATTTAAACTATTGTTTTTAAATTCATAATGTTATTTATACATTTATAATACATAATGTGTAATTTCTAATATGTTCTTAAATCTATAGCTGGCCCATTTTACCGACGCATTGATTATGTTTTTCTTGTGTCAAAAGTGACGTCTGCACAGCTCTGTCCTGTTTAGTGCTGAGGAAACGAGTGCTTTTTTCAATATTCTTCTGAACGATGGGATAAAACTATCAAGTTGTCTCCACTCAGATAAAACCTTTACATCAGTGCTGGCATAAGAGGAAAGAACAGCAGGTATAATGGGACCATTATTAGCTACAGCCCTTAACTAATGTGTTTTGTTTTTGATAGAGGTTTGACATATGTAAAAACAGCCAAAAAGATTAATTAGAACTATAAAGAGATACAAAAAAAGTAAAAAAAGAACAAGGCAATTTTTGCGGTTTAATGCCATTTTACCATCAATTGTTCTCCCAGTTTACTTTTAAGTCTGTTTTAAGCTAAAACATTTATTGCTGTATGTAAATTAAACCCATTTTATGTTTCCCTTTGCCACTTCTTAAGCCCGACATTGGTCGCGTTGCTTGCTAGCATAAGCTCAAGCAGTCATTTTTTTATGGTCAAAAGTTAGAAACGCATCACGGTAAAGATGCTGGCACAGTATTTAGCATATTTATTAAAAAATGACATGAACAATTAGCCAAGTAGATCCTGATTAACTTTGTTGACATGTAGCTTCTGCTCTAATTTTAGCTATTTGTTATTAATTACTGCATATTCCCATTTATTCTGACCCCATCTGCCATACTCATACAGCACATTGCACTTTAGCGTGTAACAGATGCACAGTGTGACAGCTGTCAGTCCATTTCCTGTTAGGTCACATTCCACTCATTTTTATCCCTGAACACTGTCCAATCTTTGCAAGCTGTCGAACATTCCTGTGGACTTATAATACATCTTTGTGAGGACTTTTTTTTTTTTAACTTTGCCTGAGGGTAAAGCTTAATTTTAGGTTATGAACAGAGCTTAAGGGTCCTCACAGTTATACAAATAGAGGCCTGTGTGTATGAGCCTTGACTAGGCTTTTTGGGAGCCGGTCTCCTCTCTTTTTTGATACATATATACATCGATCTGTCGTTGTGCACACAGAGAAAAGAAATAAGTGGGACAGCAGAAATGTGCTTCCTCTCTCAGGTTCACTTCCTATATATGTGTGTGTGTGCGTCTGTTTGTGGTTTCGGATTTCCTCCTGCCGCCGCCAGGGGAATGTTTGTGGTCGATTGTTTGCAGGCACCGAGACAAATACAGTATTTGGGAAAAGCAGTGTTAAACTGGCGCTTGAAATAATCAACACCAAAGGCACAATATGCTCTTTGATTTTGTTTATTTTTTCCATGCACTTTCGCAATTTCCTTTTCAACAAGCTGTTGGTTGTCGCACATTACAGACAATAGAAATCTAACAAACCCATTTGTGCAACAGCTCACAGCCTAACAGCCAAAGTGTTAAAAGGACCTGTTATTTTTGGTAGAACATTGCTTCACCACAAGTCGAAAGCCAAATGTGCACTCCATTTTAGGCTATATGAAAGCCCAGCGTTGAGTATGGGTATGTCTCAAACCACAGGAAATGAGGAATTGAAACTTTGCTGAGACAAATCTGGACTCACTAACATCCGATCCATTTCCTCTGTCCCCGCTTTTAGTTTCATTTGGTACGAGACACCACAAAGTGCAGTGCATTTCCTCCTCACATACTCTTGCAGAAGTAAACTTGGCTTTATCTCATAGCAACAAACATTAATAAAAAGATCCATGTTCAATTCAATTCTATTCAATTCAGTTCAATTCAATTCAGTTCAATTCAATTCAATTCAATTTAATTTTATTTATATAGCGCCAAATCACAACAACAGTCACCTAAAGGCTTTATATTGTAAGGTAGACCCTACATAATACATACAGGAAAAACCCAACAATCAATGACCCCCTATGAGCAAGCACTTTGGCGACAGTGGAAGGAAAAACTCCCTTTAAACAGGAAGAAACCTCCAGCAGAACCATCTGCTGCGACTGGTTGGAGAAGAGAAGGAAGACAGGATAAAAGACATGCTGTGGAAAGAGAGCCAGAGATTATAACAGTGTTGGTCAAGTTACTTGAAAAAAGTAATCAGTAACTAATTACTGATTACTTCCCCAAAAAGTAATCCCGTTACTTTACTGATTACTTATTTTAAAAGTAATTAATTACTTAGTTACTTAGTTACTTTTTAAAAACACGATTTACAACCTGAATAGGTGATAAAGCGATAGATCTTTCAGCCCAATTCTACCGTATTTTCACGACCATAAGACGCACTGTACTAAAAGGCGCAGTCTCAGTTATGTGTGCCATTACTGTATTTAACACACACATAAGGCGCATGGCCATTTTCAGGGTTGCGCCCACACTTCACCCTTTAGCGTTCTCATGGTGTTCTCTACTACGTCCTCCTTACAACACACAGGGCGCACTGCGCTATAGGGCGCGCCGTACTTTTTGAAGAAAATCTAAGACTTTTAAGTGCGCCTTATGGTCGTGAAAATACGGTTTTTTCTGCATAATCCATCATACAAAATGTAATCAAATGGAAAAGTCTCTTTTTAAAACTTGTTTTATTAGTTTTAATCTTTTAACTTTATGCATCAAGCAAAAATTTAATTATATGCAACATTCTCTGACTGGAAGAAATTGTTTAACATTTAAACCTATTTTCTGCACATTCCAGCACATAAAATAAAATATTTTTTGTGTTTACACTCAGTCTTTCAAATAGATGCAAGTAAAACACAGCAGAAAATAAATAAAGTCAAAGACTCAGCGGTCCTGTTGCTCTATTTTCACCTGTAAAGCAGGAGTGGGGTAGGCGGAGGGTTTACCCTGGTGCAGGTGTGCCGCGGTCAGTGGAAGAATCCGCGAGTTTCTCTGTGAATTTCCCATTACGTCGTATGCGCACTCGGTGCTTGCTCGGAAGTTTAGGGGTTTTTTCGCTGTAAAAAGAAGTTTTCTTCCCACGCACGACGGACGCTAATGTTTTTGTCACTTTTTATGGAATCAAACTCAAAGTAAGGTCAGTACTTCCACGCTTTAAACGCTGCACGCTCATACTCTCTCCCACAATCGATATATGTATCCATTGTTGATCTGCACACAGCTGTTGTCACGAACGTCGCACTCGCTTACGTCACTGTCATGAGACATTCTCGCAAAAAAATCACGGTTTTAGTAACAGCAGTAACGCAGCGTTCCTACGGGAAAGTAACGGTAATCTAATTACCGTTTTTGCAATAGTAATCCCTTACTTTACTCGTTACTTGAAAAAAGTAATCGGATTACAGTAATGCGTTACAAGTAACGCGTTACTGCCCATCTCTGTTTATAACTAGTATGATTCATGCAGAGAGGTCTATTAACACATGTCTGAGTGAGAAAGGTGACTGAAGAAGAAAACTCAATGCATCATGGGAATCCCCCGAGCAGCCTACATGCCTATTGCAGCATAACTAAGGGAGGATTCAGGGTCACCTGGTCCAGCCCTAACTATATGCTTTAGCAAAAAGGAAAGTTTTAAGCCTAATCTTAAAAGTAGAGATAGTGTCTGTCTCCTGAATCCAAACTGGAAGCTGGTTCCACAGAAGAGGGGCCTGAAAACTGAAGGCTCTGCCTCCCATTCTACTTTTAAATACTCTAGGAACAACAAGTAGGCCTGCAGAGCGAAGAAATGTTAACTGCCAGTTCTGAAAAAAAGTTGGGAGAATCTCTAATATGTAAATAAAAACAGAGTGCACTGATTTAATTAGATGCCCATCTGCAGTTCCTTTAGAGCAGGTATATTTCAGCTTTGTGGTTCGTCACACT